TGCCTCTCGCCCGACCTTGCGCTGCGACTCCTCGCCGCGCTCTGCCTCCGTGAGACTCGCACGCACTCTCGGTGGATCATCGTTGTTGTTGTTGTTGTGATCATCGTTGTTGTTGTTGTTGTGATTGTCGTCGTTATAATCATCGTCGTTATTGTGATCATCGTCGCTGAGATCATCGTCCAAAATCCTCTGCCGCTGTGAGGATGACCGCCAGAGTCCACATGTTGATGGTTTATGGGGCCGTCCATAAATGACGTCACGCACCTGGGGGGGGGTTAGACATTTGTGACGATGTGTGACGGGGGGGGGGGGGGGTTGAGAAATGTGACGTCACATAAAAATGCGCAACTTTAAATAAATATAAACAACACGTTCTACTTAATTAAATCGACTTTTTCATAAATTCTAGATGTGAAGTTTTCGTGACTGCAAGGATCCATACTCTTTGGTTCTTTCGGTAAAGTCACGTAGGTAGAAAATAATAAGAAAATACAATAAGAAAGTGAAAACAACTAAATTAAATCACGACGTTTCGGGCGCAACACAAGCGCCCTTCATCAGGTGGGGACCACCACAGCGAGAACAGTTGCTGAGGTATGCCAAAGAGAGATGGCTCTGACAAGGGTTTATATAGCTGAGCAGGGTGGGGGTGGGGGGAACGAGGGCAGGGTGAGTGTGGGGGCAGGGAGTGGGTTGGAGAGGCTAATCCTCAGGGTGGACCAGAGGTCGCAAACGGGTTTTGATTCCTTACCCGTACCCGGCCGCACCAGGGTCGCAATGGGTACCCGTACCCGGCCGTACCCGTTCCTACCCGTACCCGTACCCTACCCGAAATGAGTGACAAACGGTTACTCACCAGTGACTCACGGCCTACCCGTACCCGTACCCCCGCACCAGGGTCGCAAACGGGTACCCGTACCCGTACCTGGCCGGGTACGAGTAGCCGGGTATCGGGTAGGGTACGGGTATCGGGTACCCGGTTGCGACCTCTGGGGTGGACGTAATGCTCCTGGCCATACTGATCCTACTGCTCCTGTACATAGGATGTGGGGGGGAGAGTGGGTGGGGTGGACACATTTGCACGATTGAAACACTGCACGTCAAATTTCCTAGTGATGGTTAGTGTGCAAGGCTGGGAAATAAAAGACCGGAGATGTGGATATGAATATAAACTATCAGGTAGCTAAACTTTATATAGCTGAGGAGGGTGGAGAGGGGATGAGTGGAGCGCCACATTAAATTCGCACTACAATGACAATAGTTTAAAGAGAATTGAAGCATGTTTTATTTTCAAATTGGAAATATGGTTTTGGGGGGGGGGGGCAGAGCTTTGTGACGTCATATTTGAGGGGGGGGGTCTGACTTTTTGTGACGCCGTGTGACGAGGGGGGGTTGAGAAATGTGACGTCACATCAAACACAACTTTAAATAAATATAGAATTGTTATAACAACGCTAATTGTTATAACAACACTCCTACAACATCAGAGTGCAGCGCCACATTAAATTCGCACTACAATGACAATAGTTTAAAGCGATTTGAAGCATGTTTTATTTTCAAATTGGAAATATGTTTTGTGGGGGGGGGCAGAGCTTTGTGACGATGTCTGCGAGGTGGCATTATGGGCACTTTGTGTGTGTGATGATTGCGACCTCTTCATGGTTTTTGTTCTTTGAGTGAATTGTTAACCTTTCCTCGACAGCACTTTGCACTCCTAATCGTGTTTTTGTATCGATTCGATCACCGGAACGTTCTGATCCATGTGCCCCCTACTGGACATGTGTAAAAAAATTAACCCGTAAAAACAAAGTTTTTCACTATAAATCCTTTATATGCGTGGCATCGGTTTTATTTTATTATTCATTTCTGTTTTTCTCGAGTAAGAGTTTCATTTTTATCACATTGGTATTTTAAATTAAATATGAAAAAAAAATTCCTAAAAAGTGGAACATTTTGGAAAAAATTTTTCACGAAAATAAATTGTCTCGCACAACGAGTCTGTGTGCAAAATGTCAGCTCGATTGGATCACGGGAAGTGGGTTAAAAAACGACCGAAAGATTTGCACGGTCGCAAGCAAGCAAGCAAGTGAACTTAATATAAAGGATTTAGAAAGAGCTTTTCAGCTCATCGAATTCCTCCAGCGCGAGTGTAGATTGCGTTCTTGTGCTATTCTGATATTCGTGCGGCAAAAACCGGAAGCCAATGCAGCTCAGCGAAGGCAACGGTCGCGAGCCGCCGTCACTCCGATGAGCACGGTGGGCTAAGTACGGTGCCAAAGAAGTCCACGTACGGCACGTTCACGTGATCACCGCACGTGGTGGTGGTTACGGCGGCCCGAGCGTCAATTTATTTTTGCCTCGATTTATGAACTCCCCGGTGAGGTGCGAGGAGATATGCAGGTGAGAGAAGAGGTGGGGCGAGACGAGAGAGACACATGCAACAGCTGTGAGATGGCAGATGCATGCAATAGACTTCAACAAAGACAAAGACCCCCATATAGCCTGGAACAGACTGTTGGGGCAAGTGCTGTTAGCGAGCACCTATGAAGGCCAGCACGGCACACGAGGGGGTGGGTGGGCCAGCACCACGCCCGACCGCCTTGTCTCCCTAGTGGCGATGTTTACACACCGCACCAGGTACTCATTTGAGGCTGAGTCGACCTAGGGGAGGCCCGGGACCGGTTCAGATAATCGTCACTGGTGTTGGCCGTGAGCGGGAATCGAACCCGTGTCGCCGGCTTCATAGCGCAGCGCGCTAACCGCTACACTACCGCTCCCCATAGACTTCAACATACACACACACACCTGACCTGGTGACTACCCCCCCACCACCCCGACCTTGCCCAGTGCTGCTCACGTGGATCAACTGCTGGAGCGTGCGCTGGGCAACACGTGTCCAAGACGTGTTCACGGCAGGCAAGCTCCTCGCACTGGCGCTCATCGTCGTCATGGGCCTCGTGCAGATCTGCAAGGGTGAGTGAGCGGCACAGAGGGTGCCGCTGGTCGACTGGGAGATGTTAACTACCTCGCCTGGTACGCAGGAAGTCGTGGGTTCGATCCCGATCCTGACGCCTGCTGCTGTGTTTTTGGAGTTTGCGTGTCTCTCTCTCTCATCATCATTACGGTGAATAGGAGATGTTAACTCCCTCGCCCGATACACAGGAGGTCGTGGGTTCGATCCCGATCCTGACGCCTGCTGCTGTATATTTGGAGTTTGCGGTGTCTCTCTCTCTAATCATCATCACGGTGGTTAGGAGATGTTAACTACCTCGCCTGGTATATAGGAGGTCGTGGGTTCGATCCCGACCCTGCCGACGCCTGCTGCTATATATTTGGAGTTTGCGTGTCTCTCTCTCTCGCCCCGTGGTCACGTGGAATTTCCTCCGGGTCCTCTGGTGCTTCCCCTCCACATTTAGAATCAGCGTCACTCGTTTCGAGTATTTGGATGCTGCTATAGCCTTGTAGGTATATGGATACAGTACATGTAAGCTGGGCTTACGAAAATATTTTTGTTATAAAACTACAGGGATATTTTTTAATTAAAAAATTCTGCAAAAACACTGCACAAAAATTGTTTATAGACAGTTATTTTAGGGTCACCCCCTCTGATGGTGGCACCCAGTGCGCTCCGCACCTCCCACACACCCCGAGTGACGCCACTGCCACTTGCCACGCGATAACGATCTTTAATTACACAATTCTCTCTTTCGCGATACCGAAATACGTCGGCTTCCACGGACAATTGGCGTCAGGAGTGGCCGAGTTGTCTGTCGCTGTGGTTACGATGATGATGATGATGTCTCCGATTGATCTGTGTGCGAGTCTATGGGGCTCTGTGTCTGTACGTCTGCATCTGAATCTAAGGATCTCTGTGCGTGTCTGTGAGTCTCTGGGCCTCTGTGTGCACCTTTGCATGTCAGCAGAGGTGCACAAGCACAACAAAACAACTCAAGTGTATATTATACAGGCGACGTTTCAGACAATGACCCTGCAGTAAATCCTCACTGAATCTTATATATCATTACGTGAGCCTATGAGTCTCTGTGTGAATCTCTGGGCTCTGGGTCTCTGTCCGTTCATCCGTCAAAATATCTGTCTGGCTAACTCTCCGACCATCCATCTTCCCGTCCATCCATCCACCTGTCCACTCATCCATCCCTCCGCCTACCGCCCGCCCCCGCGTCCCAGGTGAGTACCACTGGCTGGTGCCCGCCGTGGCGTTCCGCCCGTGGCAGGAGGTGCACGTGGGGGCCGTGGCGCTCGCGTTCCTGCAGGGCTCCTTCGCCTACGGGGGTGGAACTTCCTC